GTGTGTGTGTGTGTGTGTGTGTGTGTGTGCATGCATGTGTGCGTGTGAGTGTGTGCCTGTCCCCTGCCTGCTTAGTGGCAGCAGGCACATGGCGTCACATGGGTTTTGGGGCAGCAGCAGCAGGGTACAAAGTTCAGCCTGCAGCAGCAGCTGCTTCTGCCCCATGCATAGATCTGAAGGCACATGCCTCCCAGGCCTCCACCGGGGTGCGTGCAGGGGCGGGAGCTGCCTTCCCACCTCTTCATATCCCTGGGACAAGCCATTTTCACAGCTTCATCCCATGTTTCATCCTGGCTGTGCAATACCTGCCCCTGCCCCATCCCACTCCCTCAACCTGCACCCATGCTTAATAACAAGAGAAAACTATAAAGGAGTACATGAGGCAGAAGTGGTACACTTGTTAAAAAAGGCTGAAAAACCCTGCTTTAAAGGTGATGAGCTACATAAGAAAGGATTAATCCTAATGGGTACAAAAGACTCAGTTCTCTACTGCTTTATACATGTGAACATTACAGGTCACTTGAAACAAATTTAAGTGTTTTGTAGGGCGGCTATGTTTAATTTCTTTTTCAGAGGACAGTGATTTGTTTTGGTGTTTTGGATCACTGTTCCATTTTTATTTGGCTGAATTTGTTTCTGAGTTTTGACCCTGTTTTGGAGATTCGGATTGGCCGGGGAGAGGCAGGTACAGCCGGGCAGCTGCAGGTTCTTCCATGGCTCCTCCAGCTCTGCCTTCCTCTCCCTGGGCAGGGGGAGCCATGGGAAAAGCCCCCATGGCTGTCTTACTTGGCACCATCCCCTGCCTGGCCCCAGCCTCCGGTCACTTTAAAAAAAGGCCTGGACTCACTGGCTGTAGCAGCAGAAATCAGAGCCTCTGAAGGCTCATGACAGAGGCCCCCCATGCAGCACAGGTCAGTGGAGGGCAGGGGGAATCGCCCCTCCCACTTAGCATCCATGCAGCAGATGCCCTATGGTGCAGGTGCAGTGCTATGTGCTATGTGGGAGCTGGGGCCACCCCAGTTTTAAGACAGCACATGGCACCCTGCCAACCCATACTGCACCTGTGCAAAGTGACAGCTGCCACGTGGGTGCCAGGCAGGAGAGGTGATCCCCTCTGGCACCCACTGCCTCACGCTGCACAGTGGGTATCTGCCACAAACCCTGGAGGCCCTGATCATCTGATCACTGCTGCTGCAGCCAGTGAGTGTGGGGCTTCCCCCCGCCCCCAGGCACTATGCTCACTGTGCCTGACACTGGGCTCTACCAAATCATATGTCTTCTCTATCCAGGCACTAATGAGGCCTCCAAACCTCCCCTTCTAGCCTCATCCTAATCCTCTGGGGTAAATGTGAACACAAACAAAACCCCCTAGGATATAACTTAAATGCTAGCAATAACAACAGTGCTATGTCTCTTTAAGGGGACAAACTTCCACTCAGAGTAACATGCCCCTATCTAAGTACCTGGGAGACTCACTGTAGTCATGTAGCACCTAGGTAGCAGAGCAGGCGGTACAAGGAGAGCTAGATAGGCAGCACCAGGTCTCAAGTAGCTTCAATAGGCAGAAGCTAAGGCAAAGGGGTGCTGTCTCCTGAGGTGCAGCAGCATCACCTTGGTGGTGAAGTGTTTCACCTCCTTGCCCCAGTTGATCTACCTTCGGCAGTGCTGACAGGTAGCATACCTGGGATCATCTGCCAACTCAAAATGATCCCACACTACACTTCCTCCCTACCCCCCACTCTTCTGGGTTGAAGGTGGGGAGCTTGCCTTATCCCCCTTCTCAGCAGGCAAAGGCCACAACTTCCTCTGAAGTGCCTTCCAGAAGAGACTTGCCTGTAGAGGAACTTTGAGGGGTATGGAACACAAACTCAGATTCCCTCTCCTTCCCCAGAATTTCCCTGGCTATGGCACTGAGATCCCCTGGTTCCAGATCCAGCTCCAACAACTTAATTTTCCCATTTTAACAATCTTTCCTCCTTTCCTGTTTGTTTCCTGTATAAAACTATCTATATGGTAGTAATTCTGCAATGAGAGAATATGTTTGAAATACATAAATTTTATGAGACACTGTTGCCCTCCATTTTACTTATTCTCCCAAGCCTCTGATGTATTATACAAGTGAGGACAACTATTGCCTAAACATAGCAAAGGGTTGCCAATAACAAGTGACAGTGGATATATGGTTTGCTTTGGTATTATACTTGCTACTATTTAAGATTAAACTGATTCTAATTATTCTTCTTAATGAAATATTCCTTCCATTTAGCTTAGGTGTAATAAAAAAAGATGGCAAAAAACAATTTTATCAAAATAAAAATGGAAACTGAATATGCATTCATGTAAAAGGTCCCGAGTACTCCCACAATGCCAACAGTTTCTTTCCTTGGTACTTTCAAGGTACAGAAAAATCTTGAAATCATGTTTTCTATCAAATAGTCAGTGCAAAGAGTTTTGTTTTTTTGTTTCTTCCACACCATTATTTATGGGGGGTTGCTAGTACTAGTATGAATTTATCTTGACACTAGTTTGATTCACTGGGCTATTAGGAAAGGAGGCTGCCATAGCCTACATACTGTAACAAATTGCTTCTGCTGCAGAAAATTGTTCACATGGGCATCTAAAAAATGTAGCCTGAATGATCTCTGTGAAATAATAGTCTGTAAATGAGCATAAGGGGCTTCAGTTTGCCTGCACTTAAAGACTTCCAAATCTTGGCTGCATTTTTTCTCAAAGGTTAGTCTCTGATTATTTTCAGCTTTATGAATATTATGTATTTTTAAGACTATTAAGAGAACAGCAAAGAATGAATATTAGTTGGCTGTATCTGTTCTACCCTGAGTAAATTATCAATGCAGAAGCACACTATGAGGACTGCTTCAAGATTTCCCTAGAGACCTGACAAGTGGGGAGCATGCTCTCCTCATTTGCAGCATAGAAACACTCCAGGGGAGGCTTACATAAAACAAAATGTAAGTCAAATCCTGTCCTTCAGAATCCAATGGAGTCTCTGAGGAAGTGGGTATAGGGACTGAGGGCAGTAGATTTGTGCTAACAGACTGTTCTAAGAGTTCTATTTACAGACTGGGTCTTTGAGTTATATAAGTACTTTGGTACATGTAACCTCCCGTGCTTGTCCTTTGATGCCTGATGGGACTTCTTGCCCAGAGAGGGAGTACTCGTTCCCTGGAACATAGACCACTTGCTGGCTCATGCATCTGTGTGGGTTCCTGCCATGTCTTTGGTGTTATAGAAAATAGAGAGTCTGATCTTCTATGCCCTCATACAGCCGTTACACAGATGCCACAGGTCCTGAGTCTCGGGGCTCCAGCTCCCCTACACCCCGCCTGGTGCCTCCCAGATGACAAACACAGGTAAAGAATGTCCAGACAAATTTCAACAGTTTCTTTCTGGCATTGAGGACAAAGGATACAAAGCCTCCACATCGGTGTATCTCCTCTACTCAGGAGGTAACATATCAAAGCACAGTCCGTATGTGAAGACTAGGAAAAGTTAGCTTTCCTTCCCCTCTGCTCAGCTCCAGTACTCACAACTGTTCTGTCTTGCCTGAACTGTTCTGGCTTGTCTCTGGCCATCGTCACTGCAGAGGACCAGTCCCCACCTTCTGGTATATTATTCAGCTCTTCCGAGTGAGCTTGGATGAGAGCCATTTGCTGCTGGGGTTCCCACCACGGCAGGGGCAATCCCTCAGGTGTGCGGCTGCCACTGTGCTGCTGCAGCCACTTCCAGTTCTCTCACCTGTCCATTCTGGGCAGTTTTTAAACTCCGTTGCCGCATTCTGTGCCTCCCATTGGGCCCGGTGAGTCCTTATTAGCCAGACTTGACCTGGGGCTGGTGTCCCCTGATGTTTCTGATGTGCTTCCGGGTGCTTTGGCCCTACTGTGGGTGTGGCCAATTGAGCTCCACTGCCACAGTACACAACTCTTATTCTCTAAGATTTACAATGAATCTGAGGAAATGGGAACGAGGAAGAATTGTGTCCTTTCATGGAGGCATGGGAGAGCACTGAGCACAGACAACTTCCTACTTTAACTAGGGAAAGAAGCTGTATTAAGGATAATGTGTTACACTCCTTCCAGCTTTAGTTAGATCACTAATGTTAACTCTTTTCATACCAACCAAGCCCAACTATAAAAAATGATCTTCTGAACTGTGTATTGGATCTCAGGGGAATTTTCAAGATATTTGAACTGTCAAGGGATGTGGTCTGAGTTTGAAGCAATAGAATTTCACATTTCCAGAATTGGATATTTTCAGATACATGCCTTAAATCAGTGGTCATTAACCCTTTTAGACTCAAAACATCCTTTCTTAGACTGAAGGCATCCCTCAAAGTGCCAGTTCCTTCACTCATTTTTTGACTATGAAAAAATAATACAGCAATTATTTTATTTCAAAGAATTTTAAAAGACCAGAACAGGTCAGAATGGTTCTGCCCTTTTCTTGAGCATACATATGGACAGAGCTGGTTGAATAAAACTTACTTCAAGAGTCTGGAGTCAGGCATCTGGATGATATGGCTGGCCCAGTGAAGTTGATATTGGATAATCATCTTCTCAAAGCTTGTGGAGTTCACTTGTGAGAGAATGCTAATATTGCTGCAACTGTCTTCCCACTGGAATCAAAGGATATTCTGCAGGCAGCACTGATGATACTTTTCCAGCAACTTGAGGTTTCTCCTGCATGATGTCCATATCTCATCTCCATAGAATAAGGTGACTGCTTGATAAATCATGAGCTTGGTTTTGTGATCTTTGAACACCCATTTCCTGCAGACAAGCCAATGCCAGGTATCCAGCAGTAAGAACAGATTAAAAGGGGATGCTGACTCTTTAAATGGGCTGCAGGAGGGTGATGCAGGGGGGAAAAAGGAAAATGGAAAGTAAAACAAGAGATGCAGAGACCGGGAACAAAAAAAAGCTTCCAAGCTGCACAGGAGAAAAGAGTAACCTGGAAAAAGGGTTGAGACAGGGTACAAGGACTTACCTGGGCTGGTGTGGAGGCATTGAGAAGGGAAAAGGATGGAACAGTCTTCCTGGGGAGCGACGCTGAGAGAAGCAGATCCTGAGCCTGCTGATGGTACGTGCTGAGCACTGGAGAGGAGATTTCATCCTGACCTTTGAATGAAGAAAAGAGAAAGAGAGGTTTTGGACAAAGGAAAAGTGAGTAAAGAGTCAGGCTTCTGCCAAGAGGTGAGACCCACCCTGGGGAGAGAAGATCCAGGTGGGGAGGACCTGGCTGAGAGGCAGGAGTCAGCCAAAATGGCACAACTGCTGACAAAGGGAAGATTAGACCCATGCTGTAAAGAATAACAGCTTGGGAAAGTATCCCTGACAAAAAAAAACAAAAAACCAACCAAACAAAAAAACCCCAGAGATTGAGCTAGAAAAGTATATACCACCTAAGTGCAATCACTGACTGTGAGTTCATTATAATGTGTATTGAAAATAAAGGCCCCCAGGAGAAGGGGGAATTTGTTAGTAAATAATGACTCCTTGTTTTGAGTTATTATTTCAGTTGCAATAATTATAATTTAAGTAAGAAGACTAAAAATGGACAATTGGACTGAACTGAGTTTAAACAAAGCCACAGTGAGTCTTCATGGAGGACTCCATTAGTTGCCCACTGACATGGTAGGAAGAAAGGTGAAGCCATGTACTTTATGTTACAAACCCTAAGAACATATCTGTAAGGCAGCCTCCCACGCTGTCCTTCTTCATCTAAGCAGTACATCAAGACATGGCAGACAAGAGGGAACCAGGCTGCCCAAACAGGAGAATACCCTACACCTGTTAGAGTGGGTTTCCTAGATCATCTCTGACTGGATGCTGCAGGATGGAGTTGAAAGCACTCTCTTCAACAACAGAGTTTCGATTGAGACAATCTTCAAAATTCTCCTTCCAATGGATGTTGATGGCTCCCTTTTCTGTGATCAGGTGTCCTCCATGCTTAGGTCTCAAGGGGGTTGGTCCCTTAGTGCTTGGACTATAGATGGTTTTGGCACTGAAAAAAAAATGTGCATATCATAGAAGTCAGTGAGATGTTGAACCTCCTTTGCCTTGTCTTCCCACTATCTGTTCTTCATATCACAGGTATTCCTTTGGACCTTTGGTTGGCAGATCTTTACTGCTACCCTACACATGCCCCTATGGTGCTGTTGTTACTGTGCTATCATTGATTACTTCCTTATAAAAGTACCCCTTTTTGGAAGACCTAAACGATGGCGCAGTAACAACCTGTACTGTGTTGTGCTGGCAGCACATGGTTATTTTTAGCTGCACATTGCTACAGCAACATAGCATCTCATGTAGAAGTACCTAGTGTGTCCACAGGTGGTGGATAGTGGAATGACCTTCAGGGAAGCTTAACTGTGAAATAAGCAGAGGTAAGTCTGATGAATAAGCAGTCATGGACCAAGCAGTGGCAGCACCACGTAGTTGTGGTGGGAACAGCACATGGCAATGCTTTGCCTCTTGGAAAGCCACCTATATCCTTTAATGGTGCTGTGACATGCAAAGTACAGGTCACCATTATAATAAGCATGTCTAGCCACCAGCCATGGGTCTACAAGTTCTCCGTAGCAGAACAGGCTGAAGAATATGTTAAGATCTCAATGGTTCCTTGCCGTTGGATCAAGGTTCAGACAAGGTTCTGCCATTTTGAAGTGTGGGGATGCTGAATAGATGTGATGTGGAGGCTGCTGGAGTGTGTTAATTAGCACATGTTGAAGCAAATGTCTGGCATGTGAATAGATGTCCATAGTGACCAAAGGTGGTGGAAGCTCTAGGTCACAATCCAGACAGGTAGCACAGTACAAATGCAGCAGAAATATAGGCAGGCTGTCAGGGGTACGCCAATCCTGTGACTTCTCCAGTGGGTCAGCTGGCCTCACAACAAATATAACATCCATAACCATGGTGGTTATGTCTGGATCCAAGTTGGCAACAGCAGCCACCATCCTGATGACTTTCTTGATGCAGGTTAGCACATTATAGCCAGGCAGACAGATTCCTTTCTGTGGTGCTATCTTCTAATGAGGTAGTTTAAAGGATTTATTTGCATCTAGCTTATATATATACTAATTTACTGGTCAGTGAATATGGTTCAGAGAAGAGGTAGATCAATTAATGGTCTAAATCAGGTGAGAATACTCATGGCTTACACATGCTTTTGGGGTCAGGATTTAGTAACATCTGATCAGAGCAGCAGATTTAAAACCAAGAATGCACTGACTGTCCTAGTTGATATTATTTCCACAAAAATACACAGTCCAAAGTGAATACCTAGGCTTTGGCTCCTAAGTCCATATTTAACCTACTTATTTAGATGCCAAGGCCATAGTAGAAGCGCTTATGGCACGGCCCTATCACATTCCATTGAATCTGTGAATACCGCTAAATACTTTTTACAAGGATGGATTTAGAAACATAATTATCAGAAGTTGAATAGGGAAGAGGATAGAGAAAACATAAAGGAATCCTTGATATGGACATGGAAGAGGAGCATATGCAATCAAGAGGACATGGAGAGGGGTACAAAGGAGATAAAATCACATTCTTTCTCTCACTGCAGAAAGTAGCAAGAATAGCAATGACTCAAAATTGGAGCAAAGTCGCTTTAGATAAAAAGAATTCTTCACTGTTAGAATAGTGAGGCTGTGGAAAAGATAATTGATTTGAATATGAAACCATATTATAGGATCTGGGATAATTTGTGGAGAAGACTAGATGATTGGAAGGGATGTTTTGGCTCTCCTGTTAGGGTGTGTGATGTGTGGAATTTTGTTTTGGTCCACAAGTTACAGGGACCAAAGCATGGAGGCTGTCTGCTTCTGATTCTGTTGCTACAGTTGTCAGGTGTTCTTTTTTGCCTTGCTCAGAAGCATTAGGTGTTGGCTGCAGCCAAGGCTGGGGATTTTGGCTGGGCTGTGCTGATGCTCCTGTTGGGATAAAATCCAACCAACCAAACAAAACAAAACCCCCCCAGACAGACAAAACCAAGAGGCTCCAGGTTAGGGAGTCTTGTTCTTCTGCTTAGAGTCAGAACAGTCACCACATTTGGGATCAAAAAAGAATTTTATGCCATAGTCACAACGTTCACTATAGTCTAATAATGTTCCTATAAGCTAGGGACAGACATTCAAAAAGCCAGAACCTGAATTGATTTAGTATTTACAGGTTAGTCTAACCTGCAGAGCGAACCAGTTTGCAACTGGATAGACATTTGGCACGTGCGTGCAGTGGCTCAAGCCAGAAGCCTGGGGGTGATAAAGTAGCCCTCCCTTCCACAGGGAAGCTGAGCTAAGGAGGAGGGGCATTGCCAGGCCCCAGCAGCTCCCTGACAGCTGGGAGCAATACAGGTACACAGAGCTGCCCGGCCCCAGAAGGGAACTCTTCCCCCTCCTCCCTCTCCCCCACTGCTGTGGGGCTTGGAGGGGGGCCCTGTTTTATGTTGGGAGGGCTCTTCTCCCTCTTCCTCCCCCCCTTGTGGTGGGGTGAGGAGTGGGGCTCTGTGAGGCTGCCTAGCCCCAGGGGGGGGACTCTTCCCTCTGCTTCTCCCCCCATTGCTGCGGGGAGGTGGGGGGCTCTATGGGACGCTAAATATATA